CGACTTCTTTGTGAGAAGCTGGACAGAGAAGACTTCGAAAAGTATTAGAGACACGTACTACCAAGACAAGTAACCGCTATAGGATTCGAAGAGATAGTTTCAATCCTGAAGCAACTATTCGACATGAAGACATCGTCGTTTACACTGAAGTATCAGTGTCTAAAGCTGGAGAAGAAAGAGTTCGAAGATTACCTCCTTATACTGTAAGAGTTAACAAACTCTGTGAAAAAGCGAAGCTTCATGACCTGGATAGCGACGGAATCAAGTGTCTACTATGGATTTTCGGACTGAAGAGTCCGAAAAAAGCTGAAATAAGGCAAAGACTTATTGCAGTGCTGGACAAGGGGTACAAAGCTGAACGCAAGATGACCCTACAAGCACTCTGCTCAGAATGCGAAAATTTCCTTAGCTTGAAGAAGGATAGCGAGACTATAGTTGGAAACAACACGAGAATGGTAGAAGCAGTCAGAGACGAGCGCAGGATGTTGGAATGCTGGAACTGCTTTGGGCAGCACTTGTTCAAAGATTGCAAAGCAATACCATGGTTCTCAATAAGAAAAAGTTCTGCGAACTTTTCAAAAGAGGAAAACCATCTGACCGACCAAGTACCAATCCGAAGAATTCTGGAAACAGTGGCAGCACCAGAACGATGCGAAGAACGAAGATGACAAGATTTTCAACTCATCCACATGTTCGAAATGTAGTGAAGATCGCAAATGCTAGGATGGACGTCAACTCTCCACTACTATATCTGGAAGCGAAAGTAAATGGTCAGTCAGTAAACTTTTTACTTGATACAGGATCGGATATCACGCTTCTGAACGAGTCAGTCTGGAAGAAAATGGGTGCTCCAAACCTTAAAGAAACGAACATCTGTGTCAAAGACGCCAGTGGAAACTCCATAAAGATTATGGCAAGCTTTGGTGCAACTTTGAGTTGGAAAAATGCAAGAATGAAGGTTATGCATAGGTTACTCTTCACAGTTTTTTTGCTAGGAATATACTGGATCCGGAAGAATGAAGAGATGACCTATCATCTGAAAAAAATGGCTGCAAATGTTATGACCAGTCAAAATGGTGTTATCGCACAAAAATTGAAGAATGCTTATTCAGAAATACGCAAAGATGGTCTGGGATTATGCACCAAGGAGAAAGCAGACATGCAGGTCGGTGAAAGTTTCCATCCAGTGTTTAAGACTTGCCGATCTGTCCCCCATTCTGCCCTTGAAGCTGTCGAGAACGACGTGACCGAAACGTTGAAAATCTGTGTAAGAAGATTGCCTTTGAGGAGTTCTGACATAGAAACATATACGACGGACGATCCGATATTGCAGAGAATGAGAGTTGCGTGAAGAGTGGAAAATGGCTAAAGGCTGAAGGAGAGTTGGCAATTTTTTACAGTCGACGAGAGGCACTTTCTATTGTAGGACAGTGCCTGATGCTGGCAGAAAAATTGTTATACCTAGCAAGATTCGGTTGAAAGTTCTGAAGAAACCACACGTTGGACATCCAGGAATCGTAAGGATGAAGAAATTGGCGCGAAGTCATGTATACTGGCCGAACATTGATAAGGGTTGCGAAGATGTAGTGCGGAGATGCACTAAATGCCAAGAAGCGGCCAAAATTTTATTAACGTTCCACTGGAGGCATGGCCAACCCCAGCCTCGGCGTGGCAACGGATCACATAGACTTCGCAGGGCCCATACGAGGACTCAACTACATGGTAATAGTTGATGCTTATAGTGAATGACCCGAAATGCTTGAGATGTACAATACACTGCGACAAGGACTTTGAAGGTTTTGAAGAGAATGTTTACTAGATATGGACGACCGCAAACTATCGTGACTGACAATGGAACTCAGTTTACATCAGAGTTGTTCAAGAGCATGTGTGTCAAAGAAGGAATTTTACACATAAAGACTGGTCCTTATCGCCCCCAGTCGAACGGACAAGCAGAACGTTTTGTTGATATCCTAAAACGCGGAATCAAGAAGCTAGTAGGAGAGGCTGACGGAAGAAACTCTGAATATCTTGTTACAAGCCTACAAGGCAACACTAAATGCAGCTCCAAACGACAAGACACCAGCGGAATTATTTCTTGGAAGGAAATTACGCACGAGACTCAGCCAATTAGTAGCACAATCAGAAACAAAGGAGGAGCCGCTAGCTAGAAGAAACAGATGCGAACACACGAAAGATCAATTTGACCGAAAACATGGAGTACAGCCAAAAGAGTTTGAAGCTGGCGATTTGATTTATGCGAAGCAGTGGAAGCCACCTCATTTTCGTTGGATCAAAGCATCGTAGTAAAACGTATTAGACGGGTTAACTACGAATTGAAGATTGGCGAAGAGTTATACAAGAAGCACGCTAATCAGCTTCGGCATCGAGGCAAAGAAGAAGAAGATCCAAACGAAGACCCTGACCATACTGTTAGATTTCCTAACAGAAGATGAAGGCGTACGAAGAAATGAAAGCATAAACGAAAAGTATGTCAACGAAGAGACTCCTTCACACTTACCACAAGCATTGAATTCACCTTTGTCGAAGACGAGCCATCAATCATCTATGCAGCCTATGGTCACAGAGAATGAATCACAATCAGAAGACTCTGCGATGCAGCCCATGTGATCTGATTGATGTATATTGTACTTTTACCAGTGTAGTAGGCTAGTTTGAGTTGTAACTACCCTACTAGTGGAGGTGTTGTGACTATCTTGGTGAGCTGCTAAGTAGAAATGACTTTGGTAATATGGTTAATGTTTTCCATTATGATCTGTTTATGTTAATAAGTAGGCTATAAATAGCAGCCTAATTCGTAGAGACGTTCAGTTTTACTGCTTATCGCTGGAAGGCAGATAAAGAGTCTCCGCTGAGGCTTCACGAACACAACATTTACAAAATAAACAAGTCACTTGCACATTTTTATAAGCCAAGTAAGTAAATTTCAAAAATTTCGCGACCCATTCTCGGAAAGAGGGGCGCCCCCTCGGTCCGCCACTGTCCCATAGGTATCGTTGCCTCCCCGGTATCCTTTGGGCGGAGCACTTGCAGACATCTGAACACGTTGATGAACTTGTTAGCTCTTTACTGCAAGTCATTGTTTAGGGTGTGGTGCGGAAGGCGACAATCCCCAATTTTTGTGCCTATTAAAACTCCTCGGTGCTAAAGTGACACGGCGCCAAAGTAGGGGGGGGGGGGTGTGGGGGGCGGGGGAGATACATGACTCGATGCCACAAATTCTGTAAAAGTTAGCAAGAGCGACTTTAATTGTCGCCTTCGGCGTGCCCCCCCCTCCTCAAATTGTTTATTGTAATCTCTCGCTACCAGCTCTGCCACGTATGACAAGCCACGTATGACAATAGCGAATATACGTGGCAGCTTAGCGAATACAAAGAACCATACTTTGCAGTAGAGGTTTGAAAAGTCATCAACGCGTTCAGATATCTGTTCTTCTGTTCTGTTCGAATGCTCCGCTCAACGTACACTAGAAAGGCGAGCGATCGCTGCCTTTCGATCGTTGTGGCATATTCACTTTGCGAAAATGCTTTGAATTTGCCGAAGTTAACGTGTTGAAAAGAGCGAAAGGCAGCGAGCTGAGTTGGTACCTACGGGAACATTATCGGGGACGGACGATACGTACAGACATACAGACAGACATGCACCATTCGCCAAAGATATTAGGTTGTCCGGAAATTGATGCAGGTTTTGCGAATTCTCACTTCAAAGTGTCATAACTCCTTAGGAATTGCATATTTTGAAACGAGGTGAAAATGTGGTCAGCAAACCTCTTTCTACCTAAAGCATGTCCACTTATACCTGTAGCCCCAACAAGTAAATTACTGAAAAACAGAATGTAAGAAGATTTTTTTTCAACAAGGTCATCTTTGGCAATTTGTAAACTCCTATCGGATATAATTGTTCAACGAAAAACTGCTGCAGCGTATAGCCACAAACAAGTACTACATGTGTAGCCATGCAAAAATTTTTCTAGGAACTTTCTGGGAAACAAAGAATTTCGGAATCAAAATTTTCCATTTTTCGATATTTTTTCCACGGCTGAGATCTCCGAAAATTTTGAATTTTTTATTTACTCGCCAAAAATATAGCTTGGAAGGTGCCAGTTATAATAGTATCTGACGGCACCGGCCCCACACTTCAAGCACGGGGAGAGACTTTTACGGTTTACGCCGTGGAGTGGCCACGACAATTGATCATGTTAAAGCCTTAATTTCTCAACTCTCACGGTTGTTAGAAGGAAGCGCTGCTGTTCATTCTGTAGGCTCACTCAACATCTTGCTTCAGCTATATTATCATGGAGATACTCCTCTTTCCAAAAAAGTTCAAGCCAAAATAGTGCAAAGAGTAAATCTTGTAAGTCAAAGCTTCATCTTCGGATGGTCTTAGAACTTGAACAAATGGAGTTGATCGTAAAGGTAAAATGTTTAAGATAGAGCATAAACAGGGCTTTCTTACAGTGTGCGAAATTGGTCGCAAGATGCACATATACAGAAGAACGATACTTTTGGAAATGCATTTGCAGAAACGTGCATTAATTTCCGGACAACCTAATAAAATGAAATAAGAGGAGCAAGAAACTTTCGCTAAAAAAGACGTATTAGAAGCAGCACGAGCGTGCGCTGCAGGTGCCGCGGGAATGCCTACGGGAAACTGGCCAGGACCTGCACTATAAAATGATCGGTTTTGGGTCGCAGAAGGCAGAATTACATTGTAGTGCAGAATATCTTCTTTCAAAGTTTGAAGTGAGCATTTGTGAACTCAGTCTTTTTTTGTGACTCTTTGACATTTTTCTTTGTTCGGTTGGGCTTAATTTTCTCTGTTCAAGTTTTGTGAGTCAACTGTTGCATTTTCAAGGCGCATCTATACTGAAGAAAAATAGAGCGAATCAAGAAGATCGTGAATAGATGAAGAATAGATGAAGAAGTAAGAGGTACACGAACTTGAATCATTAAAGAATTGTCACTGAATGGAATGCATACCTCTTCTCTGCAGTTTTGTTGAATAAAAATAATGTCAGTAATGCTAATAAAGATGTCATATTGATGCCACACAGGGCAAAACAGAACTTTCCAAGGCGATCTCTAGTACGAGCAGATGCTGATGAACAAATGACCTGCTTTTCTGTGAGATCTGCGTTTTCCAATATCCAGGACATGACTCCTATTGATGCCGTTATCTGAAACACATTTTTTCCAAACCTTTTCTGTTAGCGTTGTTTTAGTTCGCTAAGCTTACACAAAGTACAACAGAAGCACAGCCGAATTGCGGCCCACAAGAGCTATAGTTGCGATGTTTCCATAATGCCAAGATTCTTTCCACTACCATCATGAACTGAATAAAGAGGAGCATTCCTTTAGCTTGCAGCTGATATATTAATTATAGGCGTATTGATATGAAATTAGACTCACTTGGAAAAGTGTGAATGATATCATGCATACGCTCATAGGCGTGCGTAAATATGCACAGAACAATGGAGAGAGCCCTACATCACACGCAGGTATGGTAAGATAGCGTATAAGCTGGAGTGTCTGCAAAAACAGGGAAATTAACTAAACTTTCAACATCAGCAGCATTTCCTTTGACTGATGCAAAATCATGATTATCTTCTTTACAAGCTTTATACATAAACAGTGAAAAACTTGGCCCTGAACAGCAGTTTTCGCAACAGCATTGAACAAAATTTTTTCGCTTATAGTAACACTCAGTTTAGGCGGAAATTGGACTGGCGGGAGTCCGCTTCGCGGATTCGCGCTGTTTTGCACTCTGCGTCTCTTCATTCTAATCTAACTCGCTAAGCCAGTGGCAGTACGGACGCGCTGGTCACTTAGAATGTTTCGCCTACTCCAGGTTGAAAAAGACTGTACCTGAGCTTATTCCCGCTAATTCCAAAAATGCAGCGTGTGGAGTATGAAACTATTGAAAATGGGCTAGTCCAGAAACCTCTCATTTCAAATTTTAACGCCTGCTGCTGAGTTAACACGCAAACTCCTGATGTGACCCTACATCTTAATTGTGTGCGATATACGCACTCTAGCTTGACGATTCATTCCTCGGTGGGCGAGTTCCTCCGATTGTGGCGTAACTCTCCCCACTTCCGGACTTTTTCTCACTTTCCACCAAATGTTCCCGCGAGTGGGTAAGTCAGGGCGGCTACCATAGCGCGACAGTGAACTCCCAAAATCCGCAGCCTAATCCTGACACTGCCAATAAAGGCAGTGGCTCGGATTAGGCTGTGGGTTTTGGGAGTTAAAATTACAACTGCGCGCTTTCTGTTCCTCCGTGGCCTTCTGGACGCGCTTAGACCAGAGCTGTGCTTGAAAAGTCAAAAAAGTACTTTCTTTGGCGTTCTCAGGTCTTGGAGATTGTTGAGGAGGCTGGAGCGGAGATTCTCGCAACCGAGTCGTGATTGGCTGCCTGGACCAATCAGCCAATTGCCGCCAAAAAAATTAGTGGTGTTACAGTCGCCAATTACTGCTTTTGGCGCGATTCTCCGATCGAGTCTCTTTAGCAATCTTCAAGGCCGGAAAACGCCATAAAATGCACTTTTATGACTTTCCAAGCACAGCTCTGGTCTAAACGCATCCAAAACGCGAATAAGGAACAGAAAGTGCGCAGTTGCAATTTTCCCAAGCCTTTGCCGTTAACACGTTACCGGTGCTGCACATGGTAAAGAACGAGTTTGTAGCTGTCTTCTGCTTCCTACGATCGGTCTTCTTCTAATATAAGATGCCTAAGCATAGGTCTACTGTCCAACATACCTTTCTGGTCCTGCGCTAGCTTATTTTGTTCGGACCAAGGAATGGTAAACAATAAACGATTGCAAATCGGTGCGGCGTTGCGAACTTTGCGTGCAACAAAAATTTCGCGCGGTTCATTCTTAAGCTGGCTAGATCACATTTTCGAGGAATTTACGCTGTTGGCAAGGCAAAGAAGGAATACAAGAGCTAATTAGGAAACGAACGTTTCCTATCTTGAAAAATCTACACTCTCCCACTGTGATAGTAGTAGCAAAGTATGCTGCACAGGTGGCAAACCACAGCTTTAGCTATTTTTATTTAGTACTAGCCGGCTTACCCGGCTCCGCCGTATGTTCCGAATAGAAAATTCCATTTCTTAACCGATCCGGACCAAACTTGGCACACATACACTTCGGGCCCCGGCGGGTGTCACAGTCCACTTTTCGTTATCGATCGATGTCGATTTTATCAATTTTTTGCAAAATTTGAGCTAGGGGGCTGGGATGTGGCACAGGGGGATAATCGAGCATGCTGATTACGAATACAATATTAGTTTTGAAACCGTGCATTACTTTTATCGATTTTATCGATTTTTTGCAAAATTTGAGCTAGGGGGCTGAAATTTGGCAGAGGGGTATAATCGAGCATGCTGATCACGCCCACGGGGGTGCTCAGCATGCTCGATTACCCCCCTGTGCCAAATCCCAGCCCCGTAGCTCAAACTTTGCAAAAAAATTGATAAAATCGATAAAAGTAATGCACGATTTCAAAAACTAATATTGTATTCGGTATCCCCATGCTCACTTACCCCCCCTGTGCCAACTCCCAGCCCCGTAGCTCAAATTTTGCAAAAAATCGATAAAATCGATATCGATCGATGACGAAAAGTAGCCTATGACACCCGCCGGGGCCCGAAGTGTATGTGTGCCAAGTTTGATCCGGATCGGTTCAGAAATGGATTTTTCTATTCGGAACATACGTACATACATACATACAGACAGACATACAGACAAACAGACATTCAGCTTTATATATAAGATGTTATTACGAGTTATTCAGCACGCTGAGCACGAATATGGTGTTGATTTCTAGTAGGTGCAATTTTATGATGTTACAGTTCATGTGGTCCACCGGATTGGATCAAATCGGTCAAATCTACAGCAGGTCTACTTAAAGGCACAAAGACTCTTTTAGGCACAACCGAGACCATAATTGTGATAAGGATGCTGTAGAAGTTCTTTACAGTTATGAGAAAAGGTCTCGACTCTCTGTATAATAACTCATCTTAACCACACAGTAAGGCGTTGTTATGCGGGAAAATTGTGATATTCGCGATCATCGTGTCAGATAACCCCCATTTAGAAAGTCTGAGAGAAATGACTATTTTGACTTTGGGGGCCTGGATTTCGAGGTAGTCGCATAGATCCCGCTTTTATTACAAAATGTAGGACCATGACGCCAAATGATGAACATGTGGAGGTATGCATGAGAGCAGTACGAAACACGACACTTGGCGCAGGTTATGCATGAACCTAGCTCAAATTTCGCAACGAAAAAAGTCGATTTCCAATGTCCCTCGCTACATGGTTAGCTTGAAATTCTGCCGCGCTCGATCTCGCAATCCAAAAAGTGTTAAGTGCTCTCCGTCCCAATCCGCTCCTCCGTCTCTCTCGATTCTTCAAGAATTCTAAGGGCCGCATGCATTAACATCCCCGCGGGGAGGGGATCACAGGAAGAAAGCTTCATATTCTGAAGCTGCAGGTATCTGAATTTAACGTTGTGTACCGTAATTATTCCTACCATTGTTCACTATGAACACATTGAACAGCAACGAAAAGCTGTAAAAGCCGCATTTTCCAGCTTTTGTATGATCACTGATGATCCCCGGCGCTTCTCTTTAAAGTCATTTTTCTTCCTCCGAAGTTAACGAAAAGTTTCCAAAGTTGGCAGATTATTTAACCCAACAGTGCTTGCTGATAAGAGCAAGTGATGTATCGAATTCATGGAATTTGCGACGAACCATAAGTCGAAAGTTGGGGTTTACCGAAAAATTCAATTTTACAAAAACTCTGTGTTCTTACCAGCAACATGCTTAGCGCTGTTGTGTTGGATAATCAGAGATAATCGGTACAACTTTGGAAGGTTTTCGTTAACTTCAAAGAAAGAAAAATGACTTTGAAGAAAGCGCCGGGGATCATCAGAGATCATACAAAAGCTGGAAAATGCGGTTGTACAGCTTCTCGCTCCTGTCCAATGTGTTCATAGTGAACGATAGTAGGAATACTTGCGGACAAGTAGACAGCGTGAAATCAGATATCTGGAGCTTCAGAATATAAAGTTTTTTATAAGCTGCAATTCCCTCCCTGCGGGGATGTTAATGCATGCGGCCGTAAGCCTACAGCTGGCATCAGCAGCTTCTGATTCTTCATGAACGTGTCTGCACTTTGGAAACACCTCATTATTATATGCCTTTCCTCCAAATCAACTTACTTGCAGAAACATTATGAAGACGGAATGCACAATATAGAGTAATAACATAGTGAGCAGCAGTATCTGAAGTGAACACTGCGGTGGTTTTGAATTCTTTGGTATGACTATGTCAAGAACGATTTTTTGTTGCCTCTATCGCAAAAGGAAAGCATAAAGGATTCACTCGAAGCGGCCATTTAAGGCGAGGTATACGTTGCTGGAGTCGGTGATGAATGCTTCTCAAAACTGCAATCCAATCTGCCTTATTTGAGAGCATTTGGTATATGTGCGCACTGCAGCTGCTCAACGGCTCGGTGGGTGGCACTGCGAGTATGCTCGCATCGAACAGGGTTGTAGGTTTTGATCCTTTCACTGCCAGCTTGCGTTTTGCTTGTGATGCCTAGAAAGCGTTTCGCGAATAAGAGTTGCAGTTTGAGATAAGCATTTTTCACTAACTTCAGCGACATATATCTCACGTTGCACAGCCATTTCGAGAGATGATTTCTGCTCAGTTTCGAGATGGTTTTGCCAGACTTTTCTCTATTGACAGTGTGCATTACACTATTTTTGGATCCAAAGATATTGATGTATTGTATCGACGAAAAAAAAGAAGAACAGTTCGCTACACTGTACGAACGAAAATCGGTGGGTAGACAATCGGTTGCCATCAGGCTCACCCGTTCGGACAGCTAACACCGAACTGTGTTGGAGAAAGGTCGCAATTGTTGCAGATGTCCGCGCGACCTCACCTTTCGGTAACTTCTCTACCCAAAATTATTGCAAAGAACTTACCTTGCAGTTGATATGAAAATATAAGTTTTTGGCTTGCCTTATGACAATAGTACAGATAACAATAGCTAAAAGGGCAGCAAGGGCTTGCGAGCCGACGGCTATCAAAAACCCCGGATTACTTGTAAGCATTTCCACATCAGGACAAGACATCGTCCTA